AGAATAGATGCCCAGCAGTGTTGACCCCGAAAGGTGTCAGGATATCCAAAGGTCAAATGGATAGTGTAAACTTCAATCAATGAATGACGTTGTGCGAATTTATAAACGAACCGAGAATCTGAGTAAGTCATATGGCGAGGGACAAAAGTATTTCTATGTTCCGCAATTCTGAGTTCCTGTGCTCAGAGCATTCAGCACTGAGGGTTCGACCGTTGCGATTTACAACGTCCACTATACGTCCCACGGAGAGGAAGCAATAGGGGTGACTTGCGTGTGAATTAGTTACTAAATTGGCAGAATTGCGTAGCATCCTTCGTCCTGTTTTCTTCATCAACCACTTTGTTTCGGTGGCAGGACAACAGCAAGACGACCGTAGACTAACTTAAACACAGTAATTAACAAAGGTAGACAGCCAGTCTACGCGTGCCTCACATGACATACAATGTATCATGCTACCACAGGAAGGGGGTTGTAGTCTCACGTTCTGAAGAGTGCCATGGGAATCACTTTAAGAGGAAACCCGTAAGCCTGTCTGTCAGTCCTCCAGCCAGTCATCCCACATGGGCACGGATCAAGCTATCAAGTCAGCTTCCCAAGCCATAGCCTTTAACGCAACGCAAGAGTTCTAAAGCATATCAGATTTAGTGCGCTGATGTACCACAGAGATGAATTCCCCAGGAATTGGTCTCATTTCATCCCCGGTCGAGCACTGTTGAGTGCCCCATTCAACGGTGATCTAAATTACACAACCAACTGCTGAGTCTCTGAAATGTCTCCTTCTATTAGAATCAGAAATTCAAACAGCAGAGTGATCAATGAAAGCAGAAAGACCTGCTGATGGCCAGAAGATGTTGATTACCATCAGAGTAATATATTTACATGCCCAGCAACCCCCAATACTCGCAAACCTTTTTAGGCACTGAATTCAACTAGTGAACTAAAGCGAACAGCATGACTGTTTGGTGAAAAAGTTGCTGTTGCGTGACACGTACAAAACGGAACGCTACCGTCAATCCCATTTGTAATGACACGAGAAGGGGAAGCATTGGCTTCCAACGCCCTCTGTTTACATCTTACACGAACTTTTTTACATTTCGACTTAAAGAAATCTGGAGATTTCCTACAAGTGTCCTTACGGTTAGTGACTGTTCTGTACGCGTTGATATCTCTACCTACATTGTAAGGTGGCTGATATAAAAGTAAATGGTTCGCTCTTCCTAAATCTGGAAATTTAGTCCGTATATCGTTCAGTTTACAACCCCAATTACAGCAAACCTGGGACCAGGAGGGCCTGTTAAGCATCTCTTGTCTGTGGCTATAAAACAATAAGACGTCTGGATGTTTAGAAATAAATAAGTGGTGATTTTTGAGAACCACTGAGCACGCTTTCTACGTTACCACTTTAGCATCAATGTGAAATTGGTGGGGAAGACCAAAGCACTGTCGTTGTGGCACTCAGGCGCACAAGTCTGCTAATAGTTTGGCAGACAAGGTTTATTGGTCATGAGAAAACTTACGGACCCCCTTTCTTTCTATATCGTTCTAAGGACTGACAGGTTCTTCATTCTCTTTGACGGGTCTACTTCACTTTTCTGGATGACTTCACTTCACTGAGTGACTATTTCCTAAGTATTAACTTCAGCATAAGGGCTCATTTGAGTTTTTTCAAAGGCAGCCTAGAGTCCTTCAATAATCAAGTGCTCAAGTTCCAGGACTCCTAAATCTTCTTGGAGATGTATCCTATACAAATAATGATGGCCACATTTCAGCTTTATAATCTCCTCGTAAATGAGTCGTTAGCTAGGAGTAAGTCGGTCGCAATGAGGCCTTATAGGATCGGCTCGATAAAACTGATACGAGCCGCAGTTCATCAGCCACAGCGAGATAACCACATAATATGCATAAACTGCCAACAGGCAACCAGAAGCATGCCAATATTGCATGATTTCCCGTAGCAACAGCTAAGGTACTAGCCAAATTAATGTCGGCCCTGCACTGGCTGGAACACCAACGGTCAAAACAAACCCCCATTCGCTGTCCTCCCCTCTCTGTCAGTAAGCCTCTCCTATTGCGCCCTTTTTCTGGCAGATTTTCGTCTGTCTGCGGCCCTCATCAACAAGCTTCATCTGAGGCCCCAACCAGGTCCAGTTACGCTGTTTCTGTGTAAATAACTACTCAGTGTATGCTAACGTAGACTGATTGGTGGGAAGACGCTGGTGAGTCATCTATATTAATGCTCTGCTGAACGATGGGCCAGTCATCCGGCATGGATCGTGCGGGCTGTTAGTTTATGCATGTAAGTCCAGTGGTGAGTGTTGACTGAGGGCATGACTCCTTGCAGAAGTGGTGAATCAGCCGTAAACAAAAGCTGTCTCAGAATCCCTCACTGTGTCAGTCTAGCTCCGATGCTGTTTACTTTGCTGTCGTGTGAGCCTGTAGGCTGCTGACTGCTTGTATTCCCTGCCGCCGGAAGACACGTTTAGTTGTTCTGAGGAGCCGGTCAGTTTTGTCGACACCGATTGCAGTCATGATAATCCAAGTTCTGAGAAAAGTCAACAATTGATGTGCAAGATTTCCACTCACTGTAGTTCCGTCGTCTTATCTATCGTGGGTATTCATAACTTTTTTACTTTCCCCGGCCTTTCCCTCGCCGATTCCTCAGTCGACCTCCTACCTGGCGGCCACACGTCCGTACCACAGAAGTGTCGGTTACCCGAAAGTCGGAATCTAAATTGCTGAATGAACCCTATGTTAAAATCTGCGGTCACATTAAGGCTTTCTCTCCCACTGTCTGCGTCCTTCCTTACATCAACCTACTTCTTCCTCGCAATAAATATCATTGATCGGCTACATCCCAACGCACATTTGGGCGGGCCACGCCAGCTGCTGGTGGCCGAAAAAATGTTAAGTACGGTAAAAGTAAGCAAAAAGAGTTCCGGAACTGAATTTGGGGAAGTTGAAGATTGTGTAAGGGGGGGAGGGGGGTTGTTGTGTGAACGGTAGTATAGACTGTCTGATGTTTTTGACCCTGTGGCCTATTGGCCATTTTCGAGGACTGTAGCGCACGAAATTGCACGAGGTGACCGAAGTTTCCTCCCCTCCCGCCCTGCCCTCCCAAAATTGCCTTGGTCCTGGCCAGACTGACTGCTTACGCCAGCGCAGAATGAACTTAATAGTGGGGATTTCAGTCGCTCCTCCGAGTAGTTTTGCTTTATTTCGTTAATGCATAGACGAACATACCCTTCGGTTCGCCTGTCAAAGGACCATTTGGCAGTTTTTCTATTCAGAAAGGTTCTGCTTTCACGATCTGGTATTTCAAGTTGGAGGGAGTTTCCACTGCAAAAAAGATGACAGGATTGCTTTTGACACATTCGAAATCTAGCGATCGACACAATCCCCCACAGACACATTGAAAGCGCATTCGAAACAATAGCTTTCATATTATTTAATAACCTAAATCTCTTACTTACCTCTTCTGGATTTAAAAGACAGCGGACGTTTACTTTTTCTACTTCACTTGCTCAGTGGCCATTCGCGTTGGTTAGGCACACGTTCTCTTTTTTGGTGTACACACCGTTATGTGACCACAAGTCCTACTGTTTACGTTTTGTGGGAGGAAGATCACCCTAGGAATCGACCGAACTAAATATTTATTGCCAACCACCAGCATGTCATCGCTACCTTCCTTGTTTTGTCACCACAAGACACGCAGGCACGCGTGACCTGCCACCTCAAGGTCACTCAATTTCGTAGAAAGCAGATTTTCTATAAATGCACTCCACTCCACGTCGGAGGGGCCGAACTGTAGCCACTCGGCCGGCTTTCGTATAAGCACTGCCAGCCCACTCGCGCGCATGAAACCTTGAGATAACTGACAGGAACCTCTACTTACCAGATAGCAATAACATACGCTCTGGGCAATGACTTAGCCCTGCCAACACATGTCTCAACTTCACCAGCAGCCACTGCTGTCTGAGGGTTCTGTACAGAACACATTCTTTCTTCCTGTATCTGCCGTCTTCATTTGGTGGGTAGGATGACCTGACGATTGAGACGAACTCGTTTTTTGCTCGCTATATGCTCACCTGAGATAAACCTGGCTGCCATATGCATGTTATAAAATACCTCGAGGTGCCTGTTAGAAGCCCAAGGCTGAACACCCGTAAGGAACCCATCCAGTTAATTATCCCCGAACACAGTTGGAGTGGAAACTGAGGACAACTTGACTAGTATTCTTCAGCAGGCCAACAAATGGAAAAGATTACTTTCATAAGATTCCCACCTTGCCATGGTAAACATTTGCAGTATATTTTCTACACAGTAGGATGATGGACTCGACTGCGTATTTTTCAGAGCCTTGTGGGAGTTGCACAACAGAAAATCAATGCTTAGTACAGTTTATGCTTTCAATTTATTGCCATGTTCATACTAGTTCAGCAACAATTCCCAGAATGGATACATAAAAACTTCTGTTGGCCCGCTCTGTTCGTAGAAAAGCATGTTTTTCCCATAAGTGGTTCCTCGAAGAAAACAGTTTTCGGCATTACTGTGTCTGTTAATTCCTTTATATAAATAATGCCAAAGCGCGTTTACTGTATTCCTAAGATTTATCAACCAATTTTTACTTATTCAAAGTAAAACAAGTTTATGTATATCTTCATGTCTGTGTGAAAAATATTTTCCTGTTTGTCAAATATTCCAAAATATATTGGTCCTATCGCGCACATTAATGATTACCCATACCAGAGTCTTAGGCATTTTCATAGTTCCAACCTCTATTACTGTCGAAATGACCCCCACCCAAGTAAAACTATCGCAGTAGATTAAATTTCTTACAGCATATGAGTAAAAAATGTTTATTAGGTCATCCCGCATGATGCATGACTGAATTTCCAAGAGCATCTGAAGTCTCTAAAATAAATTTCACAGAAGTAGGTTCAAGAAGGCATTTCGGCTGAATATATATTTGAAAAAATCAGTAAAAGCGTCACAGTTTGTACTTATTTTCTTTTGGAGATATAGTCAGCCAGTTCATCAATATCCAATTCGCCATCACCATTTTTGTCAACCGATTTGATAAATTCCTTCAAATCAGCTTCACTTATGCCCATTCCGCGGAAAGCAGTAAGGAACTCCTTGGCACTGACGGTGCCCGATTTATCCGTGTCCAAACTTTCTAGCAGAGCTTTCACGTCACTGCGACTGAAAAAGGCAAAAAATTAGAGGAAAAGTAAATGTCTGAAAAGGACTATATATTAGCATACGATGGCATTGTGTGTGATTTCTGGCCGGCTGCGCACTAAAGCGAAATCCACCTCCAACTTGTCTCTTTATATCGCAAAAGCGCAGCCAGCCAAGACAATGACTAGTGACACACGGTGTGCGGAACGGACGCACTTTGGCCGACGCGCCATCATAAAGGCCCGAAACGGAAGCCTGTGGTTTAACAAGGGTGTGCCATCTGCGCACCCGCGTGAAGTAAACACTTTGAACCTGGTGCTTGTCATTGTGCCTGCCTCTGTTTGTGTGCATGGCGTTACTGTATCACAAAGGGTGGACTTTCATTCGGAGGGCCCGGACTCTAGGGATGGAGGCCATTAATCCGAATTTTGCAATTTCAGTCTACTGAGAATAGGGCTCTTGTGTTACAACGACGTAACAGACGTGAACAGTCAGTTGAGGAGGAAATTAACTAAGTACACTTATACTGTAGGTGGCCTTGAGCTAAATCCCTGACAAAGTACCTGTTTCTGTGTCCTTGTTTTGACCCTAGTCCTAACTGTAGCATTAATGTCAACCATCCTAGATCTAATCCTAACCTTAGCTCTAACACTAACCCTCTTGACCCTAACTCTGGCCTCAACCACAATCCTATCCATAAGCACAGCGGGACTTTACGGCAAGGTTGCCTGTACTACGGGAATGATAACCATACCCGTGCTCTACCGCGAAAGACCCAGCCATTAAACAAAGACAGCACTTAATTAATAAAAGATTTAAAATATTTTTTAATTTATACTTGAACCCGTAACCGGTTGCGAGGCTTTCGACAGCAAAAGCCATCAGTTCTGGTTTAGCTGTATTCATATTTAATTGCTCGTTGTTAACGGGAGTTGATTCTCGACAACGAAGGAAAAGACTCAGGACATTTGATTCACAATAGCATACACAGGTTGATATAATGCTGTTTAAGTTGTCTGAAGATCTAATGGACATACTCATTTCGCAATTTCGCCATCTAAAAGTTAGAACGTCAAACCATGTATTAGTGTTGCTAAGCATTTAATAAGATTGTCTGATATAGGCAATACCCACTTACCACAACCTCTAATTTAGATGAAAAACGATATCCATCAACAAACGAAGAAGAAAACCTTGGGAATGTATTTGACGAAGGTCTGAACGTCGCGACTGATTATGTGAATCGCGCGTCTCACAGCACCATGGGCTCAAGAACGCGCAAGAACTAGGCCGTAGTGATAGTAGACTGGAATAGCACCCAAGAAACTCCCTCCTCTTTTACACAGCACAGCCCTGTGTGAAGACAGAATCAAGAAAATTGAAGGCGGAACAGGGCATAATGGTTGACAAAGCTTGCAACCTGTCACCACCTGCCGCACACACACATCTGGTACGCACGAGATAAGTTGGGTTTTCGCACAAACAAGAAGGCTGCGACTCGAATCCAAACCGAGAGATAGAGAGTACTATAGGGGCCACATGAAGAAGGAGCCATTGCAGCCAGACTCTCCGTCGTAGGAGGAGGATCGAGTAGTCTCGTCAGTTGGCAACCTTCTGAGCTACGACATCCAGCGCACCGCGGTAGTTTAAAAGCGCGTCAGAGTGCTGCGGGGACCCAGATCTCAGGGTCGATCTCGCACTCTCTTTCTTCTATCAGACGCTAGACAGACTAGCTCTCTCCGAGCTAGTCAGTCATCTAATTGAGCGCAAATGGCTGGCGTGAGGTGGGATTACACCCAGATAAGAAACAATACACCCATATACGACAGTCGTTATGCGTATTCTGCCCGATTAATGCATGTCGTACCCCGATCTGGTCCCCGTGTTGATCCAGCACCTCTGCCACGTGGTGCCTTGTAGGGACACCGTGGGTATATTGAATATTACGTTAAGGGAAGTTTTGGCTTTGTGCTGACACAGATGAAGCGTGGATTATTTAACATGTTTGCATTTTGTAAGAATTCGGGGAGTTTATCTACTCGGGAATGTTTTTCTGGAGTTTTTTCATCTCTAAATATACTTTTTAATCTGTATCCACTATTTACTGAATCCTCTTATTGAACTCGGTAGCCACTTGCATTCCTGTTCGATTTCCCGGATTTATTGCGCATATGCTTCCCCGAAACTTCAGAAGCTCAGTAAATCTTGTTCAGTCAACCACTTCCCATTTCTTAAATTATCGATCATAGAATTATACTTTGCCTACAAAATGATTGGTACTGCGACCACCACCTACAACACACCTCAAACAAGTTATTACAAGCTCAACGTTGTAAAGGAAATAACTGGTTTTTCTTGCTTTTATTATTTAGTTCTAAAATGTTAGCTTCCCAAGTATTCTGATAGACTTCGTAAAGCGAAATCGCTAAGCAATGTCTGAGGGTGTAAAATTGTATCATATACACTAAGTCGACCGGCCCTCAGAGCTCTTTATAGATAATTCTACTTCAGTGGTGATGCCTCTGATCTGAGATCCTCGGTGTTCAATTAGGCTCGATTTAAATCCTCCGGTCTTGTGGGTCTGGGATCGGTCCCAGACTGGTCAGTAACGACACGTAAATCAGAAATGCTAATGTGCGTCCCAGCCTTATCTTTGTCGGTAAACGCCTACGTTTTATGATTGTCGTCAAACCAAAACTATTTAATGAGCACGCCGTCAGAAAGTGTATCTTAACGTAAGCACCAGTCAAAGCACTCTAAGAGTCATCTGTCAATCCAAGTTACTGTTGTGATACTGATTCGAATTTTCGCCTGAAATGAGTATCGGCCTGTCGTCATCTTTAAAGGAAGTATTCTTTACGGCGATATCGTTTGTTACACAGGTATTTGACTTTTGCAAAATATGGACTTTCAGTCAGCATACGATTCAGATGCGTCTATGATCAACCTCTGGCATTGCTTTATTTAGATTCAGCTTTATCCAAGTACCACGTGCAGAAACCTGCACCACCTTCTCGTCATAATAAGTTTTCCAGTGTCGTCTGAGAATTGTGTATCCATGAGGTTGTTGTGCACATTAAACGCTCATTTGTGCACCTGCGCTTGTGTATACATGCGTTCTAGCTCCATCGGCAAAGACCTATCCATTAACCAGGTTGTTTAACCAAGATAAACTGGTGCACTGCATCGCTGCAAAGTGCGCCGATAGGCGGGTAACTTGTATAATCCGGCCGCGCATTCGATCTATGCTGTAGCCATAGCAGCCGAAATGGAAACAGACTCCAGCCCATGTCCAGTGACTGCGAGGGAGTCAAAAGCGATTAGTGGACTTAGCTGGTTGCATTTCACATGAAATCTGGTTGCAATAGTGGCGTTATCACCTAAACGCTCAACTCCACATACTTCAACAGGTCCGTTACATATAATTGTGCCTAAAACATAGTCTGAGAAGGTGTGAATGCGGAAATCTGTTGGGATTCACCTAAGAATAGCACATCATGCGTCTCGGCTTGCAACGCGAGGGCACATGGCGATAAATAAAACGGCCTTGATTCATTGTGCGGGGACCAAACGTGTGTAGCACGCGTAGATAGGCTGTTTAGCTGTGCAAGCCACTGCGCCCGATCCCCCTCCTGGTATTCTTGACTATGCCTTGACACCGGCTTGAGGCGGGTGAGGGGAGAGAGAGCGTGACAAGTGCTGCGCAAGTCTGCTATTATTACAATGTAGTTCATGCGCAAGTCACTGTCCCTGCGCCTACCATGCCGCGCGGCACACGATGAGTAGAGTCGCTATAGGTAGTAAAAATGTCCTTGAGCAAAACGTGTGAAGCGACTTAAAAAGAACGCTCGGTTGCTTGCTCAAGAATGCCGCATCTCTAACAATGTATTCCAGAGAATATTGAAGGCATTATTTGAGGTTGGTTTACCAAACTCCCTGCACAGACACAAGCTGAAAGACCAGTCACCCGCCTTGTCATTGTTGTCGGCCTTAAGCTGGCCGATATGTTCCCTCTGCTGTCTCGGCCCTTCGGTAGATGTTTGATGTTGCCATCTCTGATAATGAACTTTTGCACAAGTTGGAATGCTCAGAATTCTTAACAAACCGTTCCCCTACTCAATAGGCCTTCATCTTCCTATACACCTGGCACTCGGACACTCGTTTACCCTCGAGAGTACACGTTGTTCTCTGTTGGACAAGCTAACGTCAGGTGCCTCACCCTACAATGTTATGCTTGGTTGCAGTCTGTAACCTCGCTATTGCCTCGAATGCACATATGTTAATGCGGGTAGAAAACAAATCAGTCGTCGTATCGTGCCGTTACGTGACGATGTGTAATTTTTGGGGCGTGTGTATTCTATGCATATGCAGTGCGTGATTTCCCTAATCATGGCTTTGCAGATGAAAAATTGTCTACTGGCCTTCTTGAGTAGATGACATATCTATGAATTCTATCGCATTTTAGTGAGTATGGCTACCTGGACTCTGCAGGCCCTTCTAGTCGGAATCCTTTATAAGTTTTGAACTTAATTGTGGCAAGTAATGCCGCATATTGGGCAATATTTCTTCCATTCTAAATCACATTAATAGGTAAAATATTTCTTCGATGTTTTGCACGCCAAAACATATCGTTCTGATTTAAATTATGAAGCCATACACCGGTATGACAAGCTAAGGACACCAAAATTAATTAGTGTCCTTCTGTTAATATATCATTACAGTTATATTGGAGTTATGGATCTCTCGTTTAATTTGCAAATCAATCTTTCCGGTCATTTTCTTAACCAACATGCTTCTTTTTTTAAACTATCTGTTTCCTAGGTACGAATCATAGGTTGGTCACCAGTAGTTTGTATGCCTGTGTCGTGAATTAACAGCGGTGCTTTCTACGTATCTACAGGTTGGTTGACAGATCCACACTGATTACAAATATGCTTGTATCAGTGCGAATAATAAGACAGTTCAAAAGTTAAAATTGAATTTTTTTGGTGCTCTCACTTAACCTTTGTCCTTGTGAATGGGACCTGTAGCACAGCCGCCTGAAATTTCAGCCTTCTAATTGAAATACATGTTTCACTGATTCAACAGGCA